ACCCTCAATACAAGAAGAAATCAAGAAAGTCAGTATAAAATATCGTAGTAGACTCGGAAAGCACCCCAACGCGCTCGTTGCCAACCTGCTCAGAAGCAACACCACAAGACGCCTCAAACGATACGATCCGTTGGAATTACCGGTTAGATTCCAATAGAATGCAATCCTCCATGCTCCAGGACAATGTAGGGATACCTACCGAAAACTTAGAAAGTGTTGCTGATGGGCAACATCTTGTGCATGTCAATTAGTGTAATATATAGCTTAACTGTTATTATTATTTACCATAATATTTACTCAATATCGTTAGATAGATTGTAAATTATAGAGGAGCTCACAAAAAAAAACAAAAAATTTCGAAAGTTCAACACCATCTGAAATAATTGACTCTATCGCACGAAAAAAACCACCCTGTATATACAGGGTGATACAAGTTGTATCATACAACTGATCTATATAAGTTTATGGTAGCAGGAGTTTTGTGATTCAGTGTATTCAAATTGTCAGTGAAATTTTCAAATTTACTAACATTATTGAACTTGTTTAGAATATTTTTTTTATGTTGTATTTGAAAAGGGGTCAAAGGCTGGGAGCTTTTATATATTAAAGCAATATGCTTAATAATTTATTTGTAGGTAAAAATTCGTTTAACTTGTTGGTTTAATCGTCTATAAATTTCAGCGAAAAAATATTATAAACCCTACATACTTATAGTTGTCTCAAGACTCAACTTATTGTTTTTTAAATTAATATGAGAATGTTTTCGAAAGAAAAATTAAAACAAAATATGAATCACTAGTTTATCAGATTTTTGGTAAAAATGTATGAAAAATACATTTTGAAATTCAGGTAAAGTGTCCGTATTTAACCGATTCAATAGCGTATATTGCCGCCTCTAGCTCGAATAACGTGCCTCAAATGTCTTGGAATGCCATAAAAACGCTTGTAATTATTTCTTGCGGTATGTTGTGCCGTTCTTGAAGAACCGCATTTTCCAGTTCCGCCAAGTTCTCAGGAGTAGGATCTCGACGTCGAATGCGTCGTTTGAGCTTATCCCAGACATGTTCAATCACGTTAAGGTCAGCCCTACGCGCTGGCCACACTAAACGTTGAATTCCAACCTCATTAAGATATTCGCGCACGATCATAGCTCAGCGCGGTCTGGAATTATCCATAAACAAGAAACTGTCGCGTATGTGAGGTGCAAAAGGTACGACATGACTTTCTAAAATCTCTTGAATCTACTTCTGGGAAGTTAATGGTCTTCCTCGGATCACCACAAGGTCCGTACGGGCCTCCAAAGAAATGCCACCCCAAAACATTATTGTGCCACCACGGAAAGCCAATGGGGAACTCCAAATAAAAGATCGCCCATCCGAAGATTTTAAACCCACCCTAACTTTATCAGTATCAGTAAACAAGACTTTCTTCCAGTCATCAAATCCCAATAGACGTGTTCTCGAGCAAACTCAATCCTAGCTTGCTTGTGGGCTATGGTTAAAGGAGGACCTTTTGTGGGATGTTTTGCACTCGATCCGGATTCATTGAGCCTTCTTCTTACCGTTTTGGAAGAAATTGCAACATTTCGATCATTTTGAATTCGAGTTTTTTAAATCTCATTTTCGGTAATAAACCGATTTCTTAAAGCTTGCAGTCGTATAGAACGATCGTCCACTTAGTTTGTGGATCTTGATCGGCCTTGCCCCCTTTGACTTATCAAACTCTAGTATGTTTTGAATATCGAGTGTGGTTTAAAATAATTAGGTGAAATAGAATGTTGACGTGATTTTTTTCTTTGAGACAAAGATTTTATAATTGTCAACTATACTAAAAAAATACACAATTTTTATAAAATATTTTTTGGACTAGACAAATTAAGTAAATGCAACAGTGGGAGAAAATTCCACGAATCAGTTCAGTATCAGCTACTCAATATTGGAAGATATAACATTACGCCTACTGATTTTCTTAATAGTCAGCTTCTGCTTCTAATATGTAAATGAAATCCAGAGAGCCAATGATTTCAAAACATTTTTTTGGGACATGTATGATCGACTGGCTGGTGCATGCAAACACAAAACCTATACATACACGATATTTCTTTTTTCAGGTGCAATAGGTTTTTTACTAGTATCTAGTACTGTTTCGATGGCTGTGCCATTTAGTTTGGGCAAAATATTAGACATCATTTACACAAAGGCCGAAGATTTCGACAAAGCAAAAGCGAAACTAAACAAAGTGTGTGGCATTTTACTATCTGTGTTTGTTCTAGGCGGGTTATGTAATTTCGGTCGAGTATATTGTATGTCTATAGCAGGTGAGGAAGGTTTTAACTACGTTTAACTGCTGAGTTTAACAAGATATTTCAAAGGTTATAGAATGACTCAAGCACTGCGAACTAAGGTGTTCGAATCTATTGTAAAACAAGAGCAAGGCTGGTTTGATAAAAGACCCACTGGAGAGCTAATTAACAGGCTCTCGTCAGATACGCAAGTAGTGGGACAGGCACTTTCCCAGAATATCTCGGATGGATTAAGATCCACAGTTATGGTCATCGCAGGGACTAGTATGATGGTTCGTAAGAATTACAATTAATCTGTATTGAACGGCCGTTTAAAATTTGACTTAAAGGTAGATACATTTATACTGTCAATACTTTTAGTTTTACATGTCTCCTAAACTGGCACTTGTGGGTCTAGCTATAGTGCCTCCAGTAGCTGGAGCCGCTGTGATATATGGGAGGTATGTCAGAGGTATTTCCAGGAAGTTACAAGATTCATTAGCTGATGCCACCAAGGTAAACAGTAGCTACTGAAAAAATATCACAATTAAATGGCTGATTTCAACTTTCATGACCATACAGAAATGTTTTTCTAATCACAAGGTTTGGCAGCAGTTTGGTTAACTTCTTTCAAGTGAATACTACTTTCAATCCTAAAGCTACTTTATTAAACAGATCGGTTTAAAAATTATATCAAGTGTCCGAGTCTGTCTGGAATTATTTGGAGAGTTCAGAAAGCAAATAAAATGGCAAAAGAATATCTCACAAAAACTTGATTCCACTTGCAAATAACGGTTTTCTCGATAAAGTTGCGTAAATACCTGCTTTATGCGTAAATCGAGAAAATTAATCAGTCAAACTCAAACACAAATATGGGAAACATTCTCACTCTCAAAAATTCTCACTATAAGCAGTTGAGATGATGAATGTTTCAAAGTGTACTTTCCTAATGAAGCTTACGATTCAATGCTAGAAATACCAGCACATACATGCGTATTCTGATTACATGAGTTTTAGCATAAATCACTGAGAAAACATTGACCCCCGCGTGTAAGTTTCTTATAGTATACTGTTGGTGCTTGCTTGGCGTTCGGACTTCGTTGTTTTTTTGATTAAGTGAGATATCACAGCGAAGCACTAATATGTTCTATGACGAATATTACAAAGTCAACCGATCTAGTTGAAGAAGTTTAAAATTGCCCGCACGCCTTTTCTCATAGCCAAATCGCGAAGATTTTGCATCGAGTCCTGACCCAAAGCTTTAGTTTGACTATCAAGGTGTTGGAAATGTGCGTGTGCGAAGCACTACATATATATATATTCCAGTTCTAGTAAAAGTATTCACTTGAACGCCGTTTGATATGCTTCCTATAAGCGTGGTGATTGTGGCAAAAACACCTCTGCAAGGTAATGTAAGTCCGATTATCAGTCATCATTGTCTACCGTATTCAAGCGAAACAAAAACCGAAATGATATCGACTCATTATAGGTAGCTGAAGAAAAAATTTCCAATATGAGAACGGTAAAAGCTTTTGCCCAGGAACCCAGAGAAATCGAAAACTACATACATTCAATAAAAAACGTGTTAAACTTGGGTTATTTGGAAGCTAAAGCCAGGGCGGTCTTTTATGGGATGGTGTGTAATTTTTCTGGCAGTTATGTGGTTTTTTAACAATTTTATGAATATAATTTTGTTTATTACAGACAGGGTTTAGCGGACATGTGATAATCATATCAGTCCTGTATTATGGTGGGGTTATGGTAACCTCTAATGAACTGAGTATAGGCCATTTATCTTCTTTCCTTCTGTATGCTGCTTATATTGGAGTTTCCGTCGGAGGATTATCAAGCTTTTACAGTGAACTAAATAAATCAGTAGGCGCAGCACAAAGAATTTGGGAAATCATGGATAGAACTCCAGCAATACCTGTAACAGGTAATGTAATAAAGTTTTAATTAAATTTATAATTTAAGTTTTGCACTTAGGGGGTATTAGGCCAGTGACTGATCCCGAAGGACACATAGAATACAAAAACATCAAATTTAGCTATCCATCGAGAAAAGACATACAAATATTTAAAGATTTGGAGCTGGATATAGCTCCAGGAAAAATGGTTGCAGTTGTGGGGCCGAGTGGCTCAGGTAACAACATTATATTTTCCCAAATTTAAAATGAAATTTATTGTTGTGCACATGACAGGAAAAAGTACGTTAGCTGCTTTGCTGCTAAGGCTGTATGATCCAGAAGATGGTGCTGTGTACTTGGATGGCCACAATATTCAAGATCTAGACCCAAGTTGGGTAAGAAGACACATAGGCACAGTTAGTCAAGAACCAATCTTATTTTCAAGGTGAGTAAGCGCTAATCACAGTGCATATGTTATCTGGTTTTATTTTAATGAGTTATAAGTTGGCGAACAATGAGTACTACTTTGAGGCGTCAAAGAAATAAAAGGAATTGCTATTTATCCAGTAATGTTTATTATCTCTTTTGTGGACAGTTATCTATAAAGGGTGTAAATGTGGTCATGTTAGAAACTTTGAAGGCAAATTTATTACAGTGACTTGACGTACAGCTCGTATCTATAAATAAAAAAAATTCTGTTTAAGTTTTTTCGACCGCTCTCAATATATTTTTTGGCCGAATGCAGCAGCACTCTTGAAGACTAACACACGAACGACGCTTTGTTGAGTACCTTTTTGCAAGTGAGGTCCGGGAAAGAAATCGCGGACAGTCCCAAAGGAAGCGCACTTTTCAGGATAGGACACATTTATCCCATCCGACTCCGATCATACAATCGGACGAAGATCTGAGAGTGAAATGGTACTAGACTGAATGCCGTAGTTCACATCTTTCCGCTACCCGCCAGATCTGTCTGTTTTCGTATCCGATCATGTTCCGATTATGTTGCCTATTCGGTGGCTATTTGTTATCTGATTGCGGGAAGGCAAAACAGTTCTTGTTTTAGGTTACGTCAGTGATACGTGGTCTTAATAATAAGCTTAATTAATTAAACTGGGAAGCTCATTGAAGAAGTGAGGAAATATTCGGTACTGCATGATCAGGCCAGAGAGCAGATTTTCTTTTTTAAAACACGTGTCTTAGCAGTTTGCAGTTTTTTCCCAAAATACTAAATATTAAATTAAATTATTTGTAAAACATTAATAGAATTTCCTCTCGTCGTCCAACAAATGAGGAAAACGCTACTTCATGAGAATTATTTCCATTTATTATTCTTCTTCTTCTTCTTCTAGCCGTTTTTCGTCCAGAATTGGATATAGGACGCCCTTAGTTCTTTCCATTTTGTTCTACTCTGGGCAATTCTCATTCATGGAAGTCCTGCCACCTTTTTTATGTCGCCGTACCAACGTGTGATAGGTCTTCCTGTCGCTCTTCTGCCGGTCCATGGCCTCCATCCGCGGAGGTCAAAAACAGAGAGTTGCCATTGCGAGAGCTTTAAACACTCTTCGAGCGATAGTTCCCGCGTAGTCCCATTTCAGTTGTGCTGCCCGGTCTATTATACAGGGTTGCTCATTAGTGCGTCAAAGTGCGATATCTCAGTAAATATGAAGTTTACAAGAAAATTCGTCCAACGAAAGTTTTTCACGT